ACGGGATTCGAACTACCGACCATCCCCACGATCTGCCAACGATCACGCTTTAACACGCTCGGCTACCAGCTTGCTCCTTCGAGGCCGAGGTCTGAGCCCGGTCCTGCCTAACGGAAGACAAAAAGCGACAAAGAAAAAATTTGCCCCGCCCGGGAGTTGATCTTAGGGCCGACAATTTTGGTTAGGATGAAGCTGCTTGCGGTCATGTCGACTGGAGCTGCAACTGTTTAACTACAAAAGAGGCGTGTGGCTGGTGGCGTCGGACATCGTATGTTGCCCCATTTGTGACCACTTTTTTGTGTCTATGAACAGGGACGTGTCTACTACCACTTTGTCGCCGCGACAAGTGGTACGTAGCCGCTTGGACGCCTGCGAGGTAGGCCACGGCTTCTCTCTAAGGCGTCTGTCGTGACGGGGACTTTGGGTTTAGGCTCCTTTTGACCCCAGGCTCATAAATCCATTCTAAAGCTAAGAAGTGACGCCGTGTCAATCTAGGCGTGGGTCGATGATGGTCGCTGAAAACGCCTGGAGGGTAGGCAATGCTTTGCTGAATCGGGCCCCCGCGGCCCCCTGTCCCTTCGAACGCTTACACACACAAGGCGCGAGCTTCGCAGAGGCATGGCGATATCTTTCGTTTTCGCTTTAGTTTTTAACACTGTTTGCTTCTGGTTGATATTCTAGCATTGGCGGAAGTAATGAATTCGTCTATAGACGGTTCAGTTTAAGCTGATTCGGGCACTGTCGGCTGTAGCTACAATCGTGTAGCTACAAACAGGAACGCCTAATGAGCGTCTGGGAGAAAACAGTTCATGAAGCATTAGTGTTCTTCTTTGGGTACGGTTTAAACTGGGCGAAATACCCTGGAGTTCCTTGGTGCCCGGCACCTTGCTGTGGTAGCGGGTGCACTAATAAGACCTAGAATCTGGCTTTGGAATCTGGATTACCTTACTCGATTCCCTCTCGCGTCAAACCCAAACCCCTGCTTCCTCGTGTTCCCCACGACCATTGGAGCATCTGTCCGCGGTGGGGAAGTAAGGTCCTAGGGCTCTATCGGAAACCTCGGGGCTTTTCTGAATCACGAGGATAAACTTCTCATACTGCCGAAAATCGGCGCAACAATCCCAACAATGCGACCCCTTCCTCCAACTCTCTGCCCGTTATCCACCCCCTCTCTCTCCTCCGTCTGGTTATTTGATCGACAAAATTTACAAGTACTACGATGGCCGCGACACTGGAGGCATGCACCCCGATAAACGTCAAAAAGGAGCTGGTGGACGTCCTCAAGGGGATAGTGGAAGAAATAGATCAGAACAAGTAAGCGTTGCTCCCGCGGGGGTCTCTGTGTGCG